GGATTAAATGGCTTACTTTAATTTTTCTATGATCAATTGTCCCTACTCTCAGTCTATAATCAGACGCTCTTTTTGATGGGTCCTTGAGGCTGGGCAGTATCGGGACACCCATGGGGAGGGACACAGTGCTCGGTACCTGGCGGCTTTCTGTCCCAGCCTCAAATCATACGCCCCCAACTTTCAGACTACAAGGTTACACTTTTCCCCTTGTCCTATACTCAACTGACACATCGTTCTCTACACTCAGCACAGAGGAAGGTCATGAATACCTGTCTCTCATGTTCATCAGAATACACCAGTCCCTTCTGTAGCAAGGAGATCAAAACCACTTGAGGGGAGGACTTCCTACATTCCACTCTCTGTATGTCTCCAGTCTTTTCTACCATTGCTCCTTTCTCTGAGGCAGGAACAGGTGAGCTCACCCCAACAGCCTCACGGGACCTCACCCGGTCCCTCTGCCACGTCACGACTTTCTTTCGGCCACATCTCACATGCGTTCCTCCACTCTCTCCTCTTCAGGCAGACTTTCCTTTTGCGTTTCAAAGTCTTCCCTTCCTCATTCCTCACCCTCTTCCAAACTTGCATCCAATGCTCTTCTTCCCTTTGCTTCCCCCTGCCATTTTTTTTTCAGAAATAGCCTGCCCCCCTTTCTTTAACTTCTAGCCCTTCTCTCATCTACCAACACAATCCCACTGAAACTGCTTCTAGAGATCACCAGAGACTTCCTCCTTATTGAATCCAATATACATCACTCTAACCTCCGCCTCCTTCCACCTCTGAATTTGCTATGGGTTCATCCCAACCTTGTGAAACCTCTCCTCTGGCTTCTAAAACCAAGCTCTCCCTAAAAAACAAAAACAAAAACAAAAACAAAACAAAACAAAAAAAAACAGGCTCTATCTCTGGCCTCCTACTGTCCTTTTACCGCCTCTCTCACTAACTCTGTCCTTTTCCTCCAAATATCTCCTCATACAGACATTTCAGGGATTTGCCCTCAAATCCTTTCTTTGTCTCTCAATACTCTCCCCACATATGGTATACAGCTTTCAAAACAAAATCTCTACCCCTTGTACGTGTTTCTAACTCCCTGCTAAGACACAACCACCTAGGGACCCAACTAACCACATCAACTCACCCTCTGCCAACAACTGAGCTCTCCCTGAAAAGGGCTCCTTGTCTTGCCAGCCCTCATTCTCTGAATGGCACCACTATTCTTGTTCCATACCTCGGATGGAGACCTCGGAGGGAGGGTAGCAGAGTGATTCCCAAGTTCAAACGCTGGCACCATCCCCTAACAAGCAGTGCGGCCTTGAGCCAGTTACTTATCTCCTTCAGCCTTAGCTTCCTCATTTGTAAAATGTGGCCAACTGTACCTACCCTATAAGGTTGTTATGAGCACTAAGAAATGGTGTATACAAAATGCTTAGCGCTCGGTAACTTGTAGGCCGTCATCATCTGAGATTTCTTCCTATTCTTTATCACTTAGCCTTCAATCAGCTGCCACATCCTAAAGATCTGATGTTTTAGAACACCAGCATCTTTGCTAGTATCCACTCACTAGTGACTTAGCCGTTTGAGGATTTCAGGGGCAGCATAAGGAGTTTTATTCGAGGAGCTGAAAAGCCAGTCTTCACCACTCGCTGTCAGCGAGACCTTATTGCTAAGGTTCTCGGTCTTGGCCGTGCCTTGGAATCACTCAGGGAGCTTTTAAAGTCCTGATAATCAGGCTGCATCCCAGAGCACTTGCAATATAATCAAAGGACATAGAAGTCGGGCATCAGTATTTTTAAGAGCTCCACCTTATCCCAGACATCTCAAGGTGATTCCAAATGTGCAGTCCAGACTGAGAACCACCAAATTAAGGTCCCACTATGGTCAAGTGATTCCTTAATTGCTTTCTGCTGGCCTAACAAACTGCTACTGTTTTTTTTTTTTCAAATAAATTTTTATGGAAGTGCAATAAAGAAAAGTTAATAAATCCTAAGCGTAAATCTCAGGGAATTATCATAAAGGAAATATACATCTCATCACTACACAGGCAAAGAAAAAGAACACTACCAGAAGCCCACATACACGATATCCAAATTATGACCCACCTCTCATCCACAAAGGCATCCACGATGCTGATCTGTAACACCATACGTTAATTTTCCCTGATTTGAATATTACGTTCATTGAACCATGAAGTATGTATTTGTGGGTGTGCGCGTGGCTCCTTTCATTCAATATTATGCTTGTCACACTCATTTATTCGTCCATTTTCATTGCCATACAGAGTCTCATTGAGTAATATGCCATCATATACTTAACCATTTTACTTTTGATGGACACTGAGGTTGCTCTCAAGGTTTTTGTTTTGTTGCTCTTATGAATAATGCCGCTATGAATAGACCTGTTTGTGCCCTTTGCTGAACACACAGACACACATACAGTAAAACCTTGGTTTGTAAGCACAATGAGTCCAGAAACATGCTTGTAAACCAAAGCACTGGTAGGTCAAAGCAAACCTCAAGAACCATTGGCTCAGTTGTGATCACGTGACATTCGGCATCACACTACTCGTATTGCAAGACATGGCTCGTTTATCAAGTTAAAATTTATTAGAAACGTTTGCTCATCTTGTAATCACTCACGGAACAAGTTACTTGCAATCGAAGGTCTTACCGTATCTGTGTCTGTTGCATACAGACCTAGAAGTAGAATTGCTGGGTTATGGGGTAGGGATATTTTCAGCTTTAGTAAATATCGCTTAACAACTTCCCAAAGTGATTTGTATAATTTATACTCCCACCAGCAGCATACGAGAGTCCCAGTTGCCCCACATTCTTGCCGATACTTGGTATTATCTGGCTTTTGAAAAGTAACCCTTCTGGTGGGAGAAGCTGGCAATACAATCTCTCACTTGTAATCTGAATTATCCCAATGACTAACCAGCATAGTTTGATTTATTTCTTGAATATTTGGATATCCCTTTTTATGAAATGCCAGTCCAAGTCTCTTGCTCATTTTTCTGTTGGGTTGCCTATCTTTTTTGTATTGATTTTAGACAAGGAATATGAGCCCTTTGTAAGATGTGTGTGTGTGTGTGTGTGTATATGTATACACATATGTATATAAATATATGTACATATGTATATGTAAATATATAAATATATACATATGTGTATTTACTTATATATTTATGTATATGCATATACATGTATATTTATATATGTAAAATGTTTTCTCACCTGTGGCTTGTCTCCTTGCTTTTTAAACATTGCCTTTTGATGAAGTTCTTAATTTTAAAGAAATCCAACTTATCAGTCTTTTTGTTCCTTTCCTTATACTATTTCTTTCCTGTCAAATGCCTGTCTCTCTCTCTCCTACACTGTCAAAATGGACTTTTTAAAAAAAAAATTCCTTGAACACAGTGGCTCTACAGGAGCTTTTAGAAAACTACCAGTGTGGGGCGCCTGGGTGGCTCCATCAGTGAAGCGTCTGGCTCTAGACTTCAGCTCAGGTCATGGTCTCATGGTTCTGTGCTGACAGTGCACAGCCTGCTTGGGATTCTCTCGCCCTCCCTCTCTCTCTGCCCTTCCCCACTCATGCTCTCTCTCTCAAAATAAATAAATAAACGTTTTTAAAAAACCACCAATGCATGAAGATGGCCCTAGGTTAAATCAGAATACCTGGAGTGAGGCCCAGGCATTGTTATTGCTAAAAAATGGCCTGGATTATTTTAATGTGAAGCCACCGTGAAGAATAATGAGTTACGGATTCAGTTTCTCCCTTCTTGGGCCACATGAGAATTTCTTTTTCTTTTCTCTTTGTTTTACAGCCATCTCAATGTTTGGTCTTATTCCCCTTCCTAAAATGTGTCTGTTTGGTGTAGCACCTGTGTTTGTCACTATTCTTTGATCATTATTGGAAGTGTCATTAGATCGTAGTCAGAGAATAAATACCATGTGTGGTGACAGTAACTGGAGTAGGTAAGTTACAGGACGTCACCTCGGTTCATTCTCACAAACCCACATAAGGTAACATAACAGACTGAATTTTTGGTCTTAATTCTGTATTCCCCTCTAGCAGTATAAAACATTCACACCCTTGCCATCACCTCATAGTTGACAAAATATAATTCCTTCATCCTTGACTTCAGACCCGGGCGTCTGACTTGCTTTGGCCAACGGGATGTTGGCAGATGTGACGTAAACAGACTGGAAGTCCTCGTGCATGGTGGGGTTTTGCCCGGCCTTTTGCCATGAGAACAAGAGGAATGGGAGACACATGTAGCAGAGCTGGACCCAACCCACAGCTTGGAGCCAAGCCCAGCCTCGGCTGGCTGACCCAAAGACTCGTGAGCTAGAAATAACTGTTCATTGCACGATGGCACCGAGTGTGGGGTGCTCTGTTGCACAGCAGGATCTGACTAATACGGGTAGTTACTGGAATGCTCATTTTATGAAGGCAGAAATTGAGGTTCCAAGAAGACAACTTGCTCACATAATGCGATAGAGCTCAGATAAAGAAATGGTTCCGTCTGATGCGCACTAAACATATAAATACTGAATATAAATGCATGTCAGTCCAATTTAATAAGTGATACATAGAAGCTACAGCGATCATTTTTCATCCTATCAAAACAAGGTAAATGTTTCATTTTATCTGGGAAGCAGCTTAACGGCTTTAAGCTAGAGTTATGTGTTCCTACCTATATTTCTATTGATAATAGGCCGCTGGTACCATAAACAGCTGAAGACAGTGGCTTAGGGTGGTCTCAAATTTTTCTTTAGAAATTGTTATCTCATAGAAGGATTTCTCAGTCTAGATAGGCCCATGAAATTGGACTTTTTTTTTTTAATTTAAAACATTTATTTTCACTAACAACTACCTAGGATGTACGATGTCCTTCCATTATGACTCCAGACAACAAACCACAGTAGTAATAGCAGTATATAGGACAATCACTGAGAGGAATAACAGATACTTATATTGCATTATTATTATTATTTTAATGTTTATTTTTGAGAGAGAGAAAGAGAGCACGAGTGAGCAGGGGAGGGGCAGAGAGAGAGGGAGGCAGAGGATCCAAAGCGGGCTCAGCGCCAACAGTAGAGAGAGAGAGCCTGAGGTAGGATTCGAACTCACAAACTGTGAGACAATGACCCGACCTGAAGCTGGAAGCTTAACTGACTGAGCCACGCAGGTGCCCCACATTATAACTATTGTAGGTGTCTGAAATATCTCAAAGTACACGCTCAACCTACTTAGAAAATAGGGTAGTTATTAGCATCACCAACTACATCTTATTTAATGCATTTTATATCACTATGTCACGTTTGATTTTTGTAACAATTTGATAGGTCTTCGGTATTGTGCTTTATGCATTTAAAACATTAGTCTGAGGGACATGTGAGTGGCTCTGTCAGTTGAGCATCTGACTTCAGCTTGGGTCATGATCTCACAGTTTGTGGGTTCGAACCCTGGGTCAGGCTCTGTGTTGACAGCTCAGAGCCTGAAACCTGCTGCGGATTCTGTGTCTCCCTCTCTCTCTCTCTGCTCCTCCCCTGCTCATACTCTGTTTCTCTCTCCCTCAAAAATAAATAAGCATTTAAAAAAATAAATCAGTGTGGACTTGAGATGACACCTGAGGAGCAGAGAAACGAATCTCAAACTGGGTGGAGCCACCATCACCTAGAGGTTCAATAACACTGAAAATGTCTTCAAAATTTCAAGATTACGCATTTAAAGAGACATTTCAAGCATTTATTTCACATCAGGGGTTTCCAACCTCAGCACTACTGACATTTGGGGGTGGAGAGTTTTTTGATGTAGAGGGCTGTCCTGTGCTCCATCCATGTTCAGAAACATCCTTGGTCTCTACCCACTAGATACCAGTATCACCCCCCCCCCCCGACCCCCACTACCAGCTGTGACAGCCAAAAATGTCTCCAGCCATTGTCAAATGTGCCGCCCCAGTTGAGAACAGAATGTGTCACGGGATAATTTTCAGGAATGCGGTCTACTGAATAAAGCGAAGGCAGCCTGAACGCACTCATCTGCCTGTTATTCACTCGATAGATATTATAGCACCTATTGTGTGCGCAGGATTGTATTAAATTCTATTATCATGCCAGCCTCCAAAGAAACGGTTCAAGGGGACAGGAATCACCTCATTTTGCCGACGAGGAAATTTATATCTTAATATCCGACTAAATGATTTTTTTCTCAGTGTGGTGAACAGTAGGATACGCTTCATATTTATCTCTCTTTTTGCTTCCCCCAAAGCCATGTACCTGGTTGATGAGGCTTCTCAGAGACAACAGACGTCCTTGGATAGCAGCTTCATGCATAGGAGACCAATCAGACACAATATCTGCATGGAAAGGGAAGAACAGGTTACCTCCTGTTCATGCACGACAGACCCGAGGCTCATCCTTGCTGGTCGGTAAGAGCCCGAGGGGGTCTTACTGGATGGAGACATCGGAGCCAACCAACCAAAACTCCCATGAGCCTTTCAGCATTTCTCCCCTCCACTGATGCGGCTAGTATGCATTTTATTTGAAAGGTCTAGATAGCTAAGCAAAGAACTACAGCCAGTATCCAAACAGGACAAAAGGGGTGGGTTGAGATGGGAGAATCCTGGACTCCCATTTACCCAGTGGTTTCAAAGGCAAACGGTCTGTTTAGGTAAGTGAGAGCCTCACTAATTAGCAGCATTAGTGTGCTAAGCTGCGGTTGCCAGCCTAGCTTCCTGTATGACATACAAACTCTGGTGTCTCAGCAAACAGCGCCACAGACTGCTGGTAGTAATCGTGTGATTACACGCACCATTAGGTTTGAAATCAGATCGACACAGAACTCTATCTGTTTATGGATTACCTCCTGTCCCAGTATCAGGCACAAATTAGAGTTTGCTCTGACCTTGTAACGGGGGACATTATTTACCCCAAAGGCAGCACGCCAATGGGGTTAAAGAGAGGCCTGGATTCAGACCTGTGTGGCTGCTTCTGAGCTGTGGGTCCCGGGACAGGCTCTGAGCCTCAGTTTCCTTCCCTGTCATGTGAGGACAGCAATATACTTACCCGTAACTCAATACCTATTAGCTACTATCATTATCCTGCCCTACCATTAATCAGTGTCTGGATTATACCCCACCAGCACTGCTATTAAAAATGGCAAAATTATTCTACAACCATATGGGAAGAATACACACTCTTAGGAAGGAAGCCTATAAGCCCTATGCCAACACATGAAATTAAATGCTCTGGTCTCTTGAACTGAATGTGGAGGTAACCCGCATGAGGCACAGAGCGGAGCTTTCCTCATCTCGAGCCGTGTTCTGATTTCCAGAACAAACACAGGAAGTCAGAAGGTGAGGAGGCCCGTCTGATACGAGGCACGCCTTGGAAAGGAACTGGTGTCTCCTAAAAGCGAAGGACGCCTAGGGAACCAGAGAAGTTGCTAGTGCCTTACCAAATGAAAAGCCAGAAAGGGGGAGGCTAGCACACTTTGTACTTAACACGTGTTGGCTGAGGTCAGCCTGCTGTCCAGACAGGGCTACCAATGCCCTGGAAAATCTGTCCCAGGGAGCAATTACCATCCTTCCAGACGGATTCATGAAGCATTTACAGGTAAGAAGAGGCTGAATGAACCTGCCCACACACTGTCCGCCCAGTGCTTTCTTCTGGGGTCACTAAGAGTGCCTAAGGTCAAACGGCTTTTCCGCGACCTCCCAAAACCATATGCTCAACACAAACTTCACGTACTCACGGTGCCCTCTGAGGATCCAGATCCTCTCAGGAAAAATATCGCTGTTTCTAGTGGCCGGGGGCCTACAATTCAGACTGCAGATGTGGAAAGATTTCTCTCCAAATTAGAAGTAAAAGGACAACGAATTCTGCACTGTTGGCACGAATGCAAAATGCCACCCGCACAAAATCTTGAGTGAGAAGAAAGAGCCAAAAATCGAGAAAGGTTTGGAAAATCAGTTTTAAATAAATGTGCAAATGGACCCTAATGGACCGTGGTCTCTTAAAGCAAGCTCAGATGATTAGAGTTGACAGCCTCAACAGTCCAGGCAGGTAATTTGGGTCCTAAACTCGAACTCTGTTCAGATGCCATAAAAATGAGACAACGGTATTATCCAGTGGAGACGAAAATGGGCTTTGTTTTGGATTCATTTATCATGAAACCATTACTCCTTCTATTTACAGTAAATAAGGAATTCTGTACTTCCCTAAGAGGGAAAAAAAGGATACCTGAAGTTGTGGACCCCTGTTTCGGAATGTAGTATTTACAAAGCAGACTAGTTTGTGTCACCGAGAAGCCCAGGCCGTTGCCCCGGTACATGTGCTGGGGGGGGGGGGGGGGCTGACGGTCTGCACCCATCTATGTGACTAACGGCTTGATTTATAATCCACATACCATACAATTCACTCATTTAAAGTGTACAATTCGGGGACGCCTGGGTGGCTCAGTGGGTTAAGTGTCTGACTTCAGCTGAGGTCATGATCTCGAGGTCCATGGGTTCGAGCCCCAGATCGGGCTCCATGCTGACAGCTCAGAGCCTGGAGCCTGCTTCGGATTCTGTCTCCCTCTCTCTCTGCCCCTCCCCTGCCCATGCTCTCTCTCTCAAAAAAAAAAAAAAATTAAATATCTTTTTTAAGTGCATAATTCATCAGTTCTCAGAAGATTTGTGGAGTTGTGCAACCATCACTCTGGTCAATCTGAGAACGTTTCCATCGTCCCCAAAAGAAACCCCTTGCCCACCAGCAGTCACTCCCCATGTTTGCTCTTTCCCACCCCTACACCTGGCAACCCACGATCTACTTTCTGTCCTTATAGATTGGCCTGATCTGGACATTTCACGTAAATGGAATCACATAGTATGCGGTCCTTGGTGACTGGCTCCTTCCACCCAGCATAATGTTTCAAGGTTCATCCGTGTTACCATATGCATCAGTAATTCATCCCTTTTGATGGCCAAATAATAACCACTGTATAGAGAAACCACATTTTATTTGTTCATTCATCAGTTGGCGGGCATCCGTGTCATTTTTACTTCTTAGCTGTTATGAATAATGCTGCTGTGAACATTCATGTGCCCATTCTTGGGTGGCCGTTTTCAGTTCTCTTGGTTTCTTACCTAGGAGTAGAAGTGCTCTAGGACACGGGAACCCGATGTTCAGCCTTTTGTGGAACTTCCAACCTATTTTCCAAAAATGGTTGTACGAACGTATCGTCCCATGAGAAGTGTATGAGACTTCCCTTCGTAATTTAAAGTCATTTCGGACTAGCGTTTGGTGAACCTATCATAGGGTGTCCGTCGCTCCTGCCCAGGAGAAAAACTGGGGTCCTTGGAAAGCCAAACTTCAGAGACCTCAACAGGTCTCTGAACACTTGGGTGATTATGTAAAAGCTTAAAAATGTGACAGCGGATATAGGGTTTTTTTTTCTAGCATTGAGAGCATGGAGATATGTGTACACACACACACACACACACACACACGGTTTCGTAAACACCGTAATTTGCAACATGGACTAGTCCAAACACACACTCTCATTAGCTCTCGAAAACACTGAAGAGACGGCTGAGAAGTCCATCCTGTGTGATCCTGCCTGGGAAGCTCAGGGAGAGGTTTCTTCAGGGGTTTCCAGAGCCCACACCCGAGCAGGCAATGAGCTACAGGCAATACGTGCAATTAAACCCAGAAGCAGCTGTGCCCGCCTTCCTGCTAACAACCAGAGGGCGCAGAAAGGGCAGGAAAGGGGACCTATTCCTGCCAAAACACGGAAATGCTCCCAGTAGGAGGCTGGATGAAGAGGCCACTCAAGGTCACCACCCCCCCCCTTCCACTTGACCCCACCACCAGCTTCGAAATTCAAGGGCCGTGATCTGTATCCAACCCCTCGTCCAAGCCCTGAGTATATATTAAAGATTCCTCCCCAACACTTGCTCAGCCAGGGTCTAAGGGTTTTACTGCCAAACACTAGATGCTAAACGGGGTCACTGGCAATGCCACAGATGCAGTAGGGGCGGGCGGCTCTCCTAACGAACCCACTCCACACGCCCTCCAATTAGTGCCATTAAACCTACCTTTCTTTTCGGTCGAGTCTCCGTCAAACCCTACAGCACATTAGGAAGGAGGCCATTTCGTTTTTATTGCAATCTCTGGAATGACTTTGTAAATTTCCATCATTTCAGAGGAGACCGGTACACGCAACATTCTGCCAGGTCAAGGGGCAAAAAGGGAGGCTGGGTTGCCCTGAGGGGGCAGAGCACCTGCCTCGGGTCGATGGCACTGCAGAGAGCCCGGCGCCGGGTTTACAGCTACCGTGGGGACCCTGGTTGGATTCCAGGACAAATAAAAAAGAGGACAGAGAGAAACAGAGTCTCACGGACAGAAACAGGAAACAGAAAGGCCCACTGAGGCAACGCTGGGCGAGTGAGGCCTGTGCACTGTAATTCTTGCTCCGGTCCCCCACCTCTTCTTTCTCTGTCTCCGTCTCTCTCCCCCTCGGGCCACTTTCTGCGCAGGGACCTCACGTCATCACCCATTGTGTCTGCTCGGGCAGGTTTGCTCCAGAAAAGCTGTCCCTGCTGAGGCACCCCGAGATCTCAAAATCCGCCACAAGAGCCCAGAATTCTTCCCTTTCCCTGCCTGTGCTTGCCTGTCTTCTGTTTAAAATGGGAGCCCACTCTCTCCAGGGTGGGCTGGATCTTGTGTGGAAAGAAACGTCTCCAAAAAAACCTGCTGGAACCACCATGTGGTTACCTGCTCAGTGGGCTATGGGTGGTGTTTAGTTTCTCCTTCAAGGTATTTTCCAAAGTTTTTTTTTTAATTTTTTAAATGTTTTTCTTATGTATTTACTTGAGAGAGAGAGAGAGAGAGAGAGAATGCAAGAGGGGAGGAGTAGAGAGAGAGCGAGACACAGAATCGGAAGCAGGTGTCAGGGTCTGAGCTGTCAGCACAGAGCCCGACACGGGGTTCGAACTCACGCGCCGCAAGATCACGACCTGAGCCGAAGTCGGACGCTCAACCGACTGAGCCCCCCGGGCGCCACTAAAAGTTTCCAGGAGTGGATGTGAATTAGTTTCACCCGAGCCGCCGTATCAAAGTACCACACACTGGTTGGTTTCAAACGACAGAAAGGCACGGTCGTGTAGATCTGAAGCCTAGAGGTGAGGAACGAAGGCCGTGCCGTGTGCAGAGGCTCTAAGGAAGAATCCTTCTTGGCCTCATCTGGCTTCAGGTGGTGGCCGCCATCGTCGTTGGGTCTTTTTGGCGCACGCACCACCCGAATCTCCGCCTGTGCCGTCACAATGCTTCTCCCCGTGTCTCCCGTCTTCTTCTTACAAGGACACCAGTCGTAGCATCAGGGCCCACCCTCCCCCAGTATGACCCCATGGTAACTAATTACATCTGCAATCCTATTTCCAAATAAGGTCACATCCTGAGGTGCTGGGGGTTAGGGCTGCCACGAGTCTTTTGGTGGGGGGGAGGGGGGGGACACAATTCAACCCGTAACAAGGTATGTTCGGCGGGGGAGGGGGAAGACATTCTTATTTTGCTCCTGGGGCAGAGGATTCAAGCGTTAATCTCGACGAGGAGCCGGTTGCCTTGTGCACAGCCTTTGCTCCCTTCCTCCAGAGTAGGAGGTGGAGACAGACCCGCAGGGAGAGGCCGGAGCCGGGGCCGCAGAGCTCCCCCAGGCCGGCCACTGGTTCCCCTCCGATTGGCCCCGTGCCGGGAATAAGCCTCACCTGAGCCGAACTTCTCGGAGCTTCTCCACGTGGCCGTTTGGAAACAGCATTCCGGGTGCTTCACATTCCACACTTCGCCACGGTCAAGACTTCAGAAGCATAAACAGAGGCGACTGGGCTAGAATGGAGGTGGTGGCCCGGCGGCAGGCCTCACGTCAAGCAGGGGAGAGAGAGGTTCCACCTGGGAGAAAGCCCTAGAGGGCTGCATGGTGGCGGCAGCGGGGCTGCGTGTGGAAGGCGAGTATTACTTTGCCAGTCAGACGCAGAGGAGGAGGTGGGAGAGCAGAGGTGTCCTGCCACTACCTTGTGACTTCTGCTTCTTCGGAAACTTGTCTTCCTTTTAGTTCCTGTGGAATGACAACCCCTGACCCCCCTCCCTGCTTCCCTCACTCACCGGTGCGGCAGGCTCCCCCGTGGCTCTCCATATGCATGAGAGTTGGAGAACCAGTGGATTAGCCCAACAATTTCCCATGACCCCACAATCCATCCTGGCTGCGGCTGCCAGATTCATTTACTTACGGTTTTCATTATTGCCAGATCTCCACTCCAGAACCATCGATGGCTCCCAATTGCCTGCCTTTGAGTAGGTGGACACCCGCCCTCCCCTACCCACCAATCGGGCCCCAGACGGAGTTGGATTAGGATCTTTAGAAACCCTAATCAGTGAAAATGGCTTGGCACCCCCCTCTCTTGAGTGGAAATAAAAATAAAACTAATACTTAGGTGTAAAAAAATCAGGTGGGGAAGTCTTCCAAATTATGGATTCTTTCCCATATTGACCTGGAAATACAATCTGCTGCTTTAAAAGTACAGTTATCAAATTCATTTTTGTGAAGTAATTTTGGGGGCCACTCTGCTTTCTACTGCTCCAAGTTTGTGCTCAATAAATCTGATTAATCCAGTTCTCCCTTTGCGGATCCCAATCCTACTCACTGTGGAGTGAGTCTGCTTCTTTGACGAGCAAAATCGGATAAATGAATGAATGAATGAATGAGCAGTCCTCTCTGCTCAGTTAGTCAGAGGGAAGGCATGTTGTATTTTATTTTTTTCTGTTTTTTCCCTTTCAGCTGCCGCACTCTAGGAGAGGGGTAAGTCCTACCTGACCGCTGGGCCCCTATAGACAAGCGTTGTGGGCAGTTTTGCTGATAATATGAACCTGAATGTAATGATCTCGCCTCTAATGCTTAGACCCATTTTTCGGCATCCCTTCGGTCAGCGGGCACCTGCTGAATGCTCACAAGAAATGACAGTTGCCCAGAGGCATGAATCTTGATAGTTGGCAAGGACACCACCTAACAGTTGAGAATCACACCTGAAAGACGCTTCTCCAAAGTTAAAACAAACAACAGTCTGCTTTCAAGGCGAATCAATCAGTGCTCAATGTCTGAACATCATTTATAAAGCCAGCCCCACCTAAACGCCAAATACCTAAGACCTTTCCATAAATGTTTTGGCAGTAAAAATGTCCTAGTTATAAGGAACTTTTGTGCCTCCAGTGTGATATATGTGATACATTTGACCCACACAGTATAATTCCTCGGAGCTCAAGTTTTTACTGGTGAGTAAACGGTGACAGTTGACTTTGTGTGGTCTCTAGGACTCTGCAGATAGAGGTATAGGCGTTATTGACAAGCATGTGAAGGATATATACCAGCAAGTGGTGGCCATCTGTCCGGTAGCTGCCCCCTGGACACACCTCAGACGGAGCCACTGAAATCACCCCGCCCTCTTCTCTCCTAATCGCATCAGCCAGCCCCCCAGCACTCTGATTCCGGAGCCCCTGGACTCACCCCCCATCCATGGGTTTGAAAAGAAACTGGTGTCAGGATTGTCTTCTGGTCTCAAGGACTTACTGCTCCTGCCCCCTGGCTTGCCGTCCATGGTGCTGTTTCTTTCCTAGGCCAGGAGAGGTCCGTGTTCCACTTCAGTTGTTCACAGAACTCCAAATTCCATGCTCCTGGGATTCCAGTGCTGTGGCTGGCTGAGGTAGACGGTAGAGAACAGCAGAGAACAGTACAGGCAGGGTAATCTGAGCACTACCTGTGGTCAGACAGATGCACGCGCCCAGACGCGCGCTCGCGCGTGTACACACACGCGCGCACACACACACATACACACGCTCCACCTAGCTGGCTGGAGGCTGGCCAAAGCTCACAACAGCCCCCCAGCCCAAGTCTGCAAAGTTGCTGATGTCACGTCCTTTCCCAATCTGAGACCAATCAGTGAGGAAGCCTTGGGGTTTATCAGGAAGGAAAGCCAGTTTGTAACTTTTGGAGAGCACAGGGAACAGGGTGGGGGTGAAGGAAACCACTCCCGGCTGCACTGTTGTGTTCACTCTGCTGGGATCTGCTTGTTCTGGGGGGTGGAGCGGGGGGGCTTCTCATTGTTGACAAAGCCCCAGAACCCAAGAGCTGAGAAAGCTGGTTTCGCCGCAGCCCCGCTGAATTGCTTGCACAGCAACACGCCATCTGCACATGTGGTTTCAATTTTTCTGGGAGTTTCTTATGGGAAAATGTGTCTATATGTTACAAAAATGCTCCTTGGGAAAGAACTTCTATTTTCTTCCCTCTGACTACAGGGACTTCACTACATGTCCCTTCACCCTCCCTCCACACATTGTATTTTGACTTCGAAATAAATAATTAACAGTTGCTGCTGGAAAATGGATTGCCAGGTGGCCCCGGGTATGTGGAAGAAACCTGCTACTTTGTTAATTATAAACAGCTTTACTCTGGGAAGTTTTCGCCTGTTCGCCTTTCCAGAACAGTGGGTTGCGGTACACTTGTCTTTTCAGGGGAACCCAGTTTCCCCCCACCCCCGGGTGCTGGTTCAGGCTGAGGCCATCCCTAGACTCGCACTGCGCCTCTTTTCTGGGTGGAAGGGGACCTTTGCTTGCAGTTAGGGGAGTCCCTGAGTTAGTGGCGAGCATGGTCTGTCTCTGAAGTGACTGCAGATTTTTTTTTTTTAACGCCAAAGATGCAGCCTCACTATTTCAGATTTATGGGTCCTCGACTGGAACACGTGGCAGCCATCGTTCACAGTTGGAGGCGTGGCCTCCATATTTCAAAATGCATTTCCGTGCACACGTACGTATACGCATTTATCCCTTTACAATTTTTCACACGAACGCCATTGCATTACCGTATCGCTCTCTGCCCGTGACACTTCTGTCTTGGAGGTCTTTCCATTTTAGCACGTATGGCTGTCCCTCTGCTCCATTACGGTGCAGCATGCCATATGGCTCAAAACTACTTTACTGTTCCCCCATGATGGAGGCAGAATGTTACCATCTCTTCTGTTACTATATTACCACCACGGCCCATAATTTTGTTTAAGTGGCTCTGTGCACGGGTGCAAGGGTTTCTGGAGGAGAGATTCCTGAGTGGAAATGCTGGCTCGCAGGTGCACTCGTGCACATGCCATGATTGCTGCAGGAGCGAAGACACACACAGAAGTGAGTACAAGCCAAACGGGAGAATTCTGAAGATCAGTGACTTGTATCAGTGTCCGTGCACATCTCCACTGCACTGCAGGCTTGCAGAAAGCTGTCACTGGGGAAAGTGGGAAGAGCTACAGGAGAGCTGCTTCTATGATGGCTTACGACTGCGTGAAATCTACAATTATCTCAATACAGATGGCGTTTTGAAAGAAAGAGGCTGTTCGTTCAAAACTGAGAGAGTGGCGCCTGAGTGGCTCGGTCGGTGGAGTGTCCGACTCTTGATCTCCGCTCAGGTCATGATCCCAGGGTCGTGGGATTAAACCCTGCCTCGGGCTCTGTGCTGAGCATGGAGCCTGCTTGGGATTCTCCCTCCCTCCCTCTCATTCTCTCTCTCTCTCTCTGCCACTCTATCCCACTTGCGTGCACTTTCTCCCTCTCTCTAAAAAAAAAAAAAAAAATGATAAAATTGACAGACATACTGCCAAATTGCCCTCCAGGTCTCTGCAGAATTAACTGAACGGGCCACAAGCAGATAAATTGTACGCTACTCCATCAGGAGATTTGAAGAACTATCAAACTTGTCTTTGGCAGAGACTGAGAAATTTACTCCCAACGTAGACCGAATGATAAGGAGTTAAACAGAGAGGCACAATGGGGAACCTGGCTATTATCGCCATTCTTTGAGCAAAATCTTCATGGTACAGCTTCTTTATTTACTTTTAATTAAACTCCGAGAAGATAACATCTTCCCAGATTCAAATTTAAGTTTATTGTCCAACGTGACAATAAAGAGGATTTCCGAGTTGTTGCCTTAGTACCTGGGAGGGAATTAATCAGCTTTTAACCTTCTCACTAGAATGGGAACTGACTTTTTTTTTTTTAACTGTTTAACAACACTTCCAGTCAGGAATTCAAAAACAATTACAAGAGAAAGTCATGCATTTATAGGGATTTCAGGACAAAGTTGAATGGCAAGCATATGAGCCGTGATTATAGGAGAACAGGTTGGCTTACGACAAGCCACAAGAGGAGAACAAGCTTACGGACTTCTAGTCGTCCCTGTGTGTGTGTGTGTGTGTGTGTGTGTGTGTGTGCGCGCGCGTGCACATGTGTTCAGGAAACTTGGTCCAGGTTAGGTAAGAAAAAAGATTGATGTATGGCCTACAGCGGTAAGGCCACAGTCATTCCTTATCCAGTACAGTCTTAACACTAGCCAGGGCCTCTGCGGCCCCCTCACCTAGATGTCCATGGCTGACATCACTCATGGGTTCTGAGACTCTTTCCTCCCGAGGCCCTGGGGAGCCTGGAAAGTCCCCTCCAATCAGTCAAAGTCGGCCCGGGAGCAGAAACCTCTGGTCATTCCAGCCAGCAACCTCTCTAGCACAAGACCCTTAAAACCCAAAAGGTACACCTCCCCTCTGATAATTTGGAACGATCTGTGTTTCCCGCAAAAAGCCTCGCTGTTTCTCTTGCTCTTGCATAACTGTCTGCATGCTGAGCTAGCTGGTGTTGCTACTTGAGACGGCAATGACTTGTCCCCACTCCATCTAGCAGTACAATAAGATTCAAACAAGGATGTGTCCTTTAAAAGCTGGCATAATGCAGTATTCTTGAGGAAACCAATCTCACAAATCAAAACCGAGAGTCGACATCCACAATGCGGCTGGATTCTTCAAAAATGCCAACGGCACAAAAGACCAGAGTTGGGGTGGGAAGGCTTTCTAGCTTAAAGGAGAAAAAAGTGACTTGGTGACTAAATACACGCGTGATCTTTGATCAGATCGTGAGTGGGGGTGTGGCAGGGGGGCAGGGACAAGATGTAAAAGGCATCAATGCCACCATCGCTGAAATTTAAATATGGACTGAGATCAGATCATCACAGTGCCTCGCCGGCAGGTCTCCTGCATGTGATTGCTGCCCCGAGGTTGTGCAGAAGAGTCTCTGTGTTACTAGGAGATGCACACTGAAGTGCTGGGGGCAGAGCCACGTGCAGCTTGACACAAAGGGAGAGATGTGTGCCCCTTCGTACACGTTTTACACCCAATGGAAGAAGCCAACGCAAGCTCTACAGTCAAAACCCAGGAGTATACGTAAAGACCACATTGCCCAATCTGTTCACAAGCCAGTGGCATTC